TTTTTTTTTTTTTTTTTGCAAGTTGAGGTCGTGGATGTCTATTAAATATATGATCATTCTTTGGCTGTCTCCTTTCTGCTTGGTCCTAGCATGAGTCTTCCTTGTGCTTGGCAGCAACTAAGCCTACGCTGCCTCGCTTGGACCCAGTTTTGTAATGGTCTCTGAGGTCCATATTAAATAGTTTTCACCTACAACAATAACGAATAGGATCCTTTGTTCCTGCTTCCATATTCAAGGACCAGCTTCCTGAAGTGTACTACATAAGTCTACTTACGTTCTTCTTGGCTTCCATTCAACAACTTTTTTGTTTTTTTTTTTTATCTCAAGACTAGATAATGAAAACCAGGAGAGGAAAGCGTTCAGAGGTATGCTTTAACACTCCTTGGTGTTGCTTTTATTTGAATTTTTGTTATTAAGGTAATATTTGTGGCTGTTGATGATTTACTTGGGCAAGTGCTTTTGATTTCAGGCCTTTTGGCCATCCATTGTGATGAAGAAATGGTTAAATATAAAGCCTCAGCTGTATGATTTTAGTGAAGATGAAGTGGAAACTGAAACCGAGAGCGAAGATGATGGTATGGTCATGAAAATGTTTACATTAAGATGATTGCCCCTTGTAATTCCTGTTTTGATGATATGTTTGTTCTCTGCAATTTCATCCAGCTTACTCTCTTAAGGATACAAGATTGCATGATGGTGTTGGTGAGGATGATATGCATAGAACCTTGGGGAGCCAATCCACGTGCAGAAGTCAAATATCAGGCATAAAATCAATTTTTTTTTCTTTTTTTCTACACTGTAGTTTGTCTCTCAACATAAAAATCAATATCTTTACTTTCTTAAGCTTAAAACTTAAAAGTATATTGAATCTCATCTACTCTATCTTCAATTTTTTATCCCCTTCTACAGTGCCAATTGAAATTTTGTCAATTTTCTATCTATGCAATATTCCTTAATACATTCATTTAGCCATTGGGTGGCCTTGAACTTTAATCACTGGTGTAGATTTTAGAGAAATTTTGATTATCAAAGCTATTAAAACAGTTGAAATAGAGTACGGTGTAATGATTTTTTTTGGCCATCAGGTATGGTGTGTTGTTCATATTTCTGTTTTCCAGAGATGAATAGTAAGCCTAAAAACTAAAAGTATGTCAACTAGCATGATAATTTCTTGTGTATTTCATTTGTGAGTTTAAACTCATAGTTCTTTATGGCCTTGATATTTTGTTGTCCAGACACAACTCCTAAAGGCAATCAATTGAGACATAGGAGAGGAAAATCAGAAACCCTGCGTGCACAGTACATAAATACTAAGGATGTAAGGTCCGGCTGCAGTAAGCTTACTTTTGCAATGTTTTCCATGAGGTGTTATTGATTTGGTTCTGATGGAAATTCAACATGGTTATCTGTAGGGTGACAGTAGGTACTTGGAATGTTGCTGGAAGGGCTCCAAGTGATGATCTTGAGATTGATGACTGGCTTTGTACAAAAGAGCCAGCGGATATATACATTATTGGGTGAGAATTTCTGATTTTTCGAGGATTTGAAGAATTATTTAGAAAATTCGATACTCATTTATTTAATACATTTGGGGCATGAGGAAATCTTCATGCTATTCTCCTCACTATTTCTCATTCCTGATGTGTGCGCCATTATATCCTGCGTAGTTGATTTTCTGTGTCTAAAAATGGTGCTGCTTAGGGATCACTGGTAATGCCATCACAGTATCTCTTATCTAGTTCTCATTTCTCTGCTTAGGGTGTTTCTATCTAGCTTTTTCTCTAAGCCCAACAATTAGCTTTTTCCTGAAATGCTCGTCTGGTTAACTGTGGAGTTTTGTCTTATTTGCCAATGTATTAATAATGATGAATATGCTTTTCACAGCTTCCAGGAGGTAGTCCCTCTAAATGCTGGAAATGTATTAGGAGCAGAGGATAGCACACCAATTCCTAAATGGGAAGCCATCATTAGGAAAACTTTGAACAAATCTTTGGAGCCTGAAAGCAACCACAAGTGCTATAGTGCCCCTCCTTCTCCTGTGTTAAGGACTTCTTCTGTTGTAGATGTTCTTGCAGATGAGATAGATGCTTTTCCTTTGGAAACAATGCATGACGGATATTCGGAGACTACCGATGGTCCCGAGTTTAAAAGAGATGATATATATAAAGAGGATGATACTGGAAAAAACCTACAGCTGTGGAGGATATGTGGAATTGATTGTGACAGTAGATTAGACTGGCCTGAATGTTCCTTGGATGCAACCCCACAAATTGTCTCCTTGAATTCAAAATTGAGGAGGGTCATGAGCAGCTCTGCAAGAATCGGTTTTAATTTGACAGAGAATCCAGCATCATATAGTCCTCAAAATACTGCCTTGAATGTAAACACATTGAAAAGGTTACACCATAGCACTGTAAACCTACAGACAATTTGGACGGATAAGCAGCCGGATTCTGAAGTTGTGGATTCTTCATCTGATGTATCTGATGGATTTTCTGAAGAGGAAGATGATATCTTTCAGGAATTACCAACAGAGAATCATGCAAATGGAGTTGAAAACAATAGAGCTAAGCCACAGTCTAAATTTGTGCGAATTGTCAGTAAGCAGATGGTGGGTATATACATGTCAGTCTGGGTGAGAAAGAGATTGAGGAGCCGTATAAACAATTTGAAAGTCTCCCCAGTTGGTGTTGGACTAATGGGCTACATGGGAAACAAGGTAGTGCCACTTCTCCAATGCAGCTATGCTAGAAGAAGATTAGGCTGCCGATATGACTGGCACCGTAAGACATTGAAAATTTTCCATCCTTAAAAGTAAAAATGAGAATTACATAGAATCATATTGGGTGAGTTTGTATCACTGCCATTACCCTGCGGTCAATTTCACTGGCGAGCACCGTAGGATGCGAGGATGCTTCCTTCATTTCACTGTAACAGTGAATATTATTTCTCATTTTCAATTATAAATGAGATGGAACAGTGCCTTGCATGTTGAGATGTAGGGACATAGATGGCTGCAGGGTAGAGACTGCAGTTATGGTAGTAATTATGAAATACTTTACCAATAGATGGACACACCTGGTTTCATTTTACTGGTTGTCTAAATGGAGTTTGCATATGCAGGGATCTGTTTCTGTCAGCATGTCTCTTTTCCAATCGCGGCTATGCTTTGTTTGTTCTCATCTGACATCGGGTCAGAAGGATGGAGCTGAACAGAGGCGTAATGCTGATGTACATGAAATAATTCGGCGTACCCATTTCTCGTCTATCCTTGAAGTAGATCAACCACGGACAATTGCTTCTCATGAGTGAGCAATCTTTTCATCACTAAATTTCAATTTTTACAGTTGCAGTTCATTATCAATTCATGAAATAATTTGTTTGTTTGTTCAATTTATTTTGGCATAATGCATAATTTTGAAGCATACCATACTAGTAAGTCCAGTCAATGTGCTTCCTCCCCCCACCCCCTACCCCCTTTCCCTGCATCCAGGACTGCACGAATTGGAAGGAAAAGAGAAAAAAGTTAACTTAGATAACTTTGTGTAGATATGAATTGAGGTAGGAACAAAGCAAGACTTGACAAGACAGTGATTTTAGGCAAATTTCAAGAAACTAAAAGACAGATTTTAGGAAAATTTTCAAGAAACTGAAGACAGGAAAAGAACCTAGGTTCTTTTGATGTACTAAGCATTGCTGAGCTTTGACTCGTAGTGGGTTCTAAGGTGCAAGCTGCTCTCTGTAGTCACCTTGATTGTTGAGTCTTCTCCCCTATGATTGTATATCTGCGTTCAGCCTAGCACATGAATTTGTAAGTGGGTGCTTTTTTTAAACAGTCAGATATTTTGGTTTGGGGATTTGAACTATCGCCTAAATATGTTGGATGCTGAAGTGAGGAGACTTGTTGCTCTAAGGCGCTGGGATGAGCTTATCAACAATGATCAGGTGGGAAACTTAACAATCTGAATTTTGATGAGACTAAATCTTGGTTCGGTTTCATTTGAACCCTATTGTCCTCTTCCATGATGCAGAAGTACTACATGTGAAATTTATATTTTGCTCTAATTGCATGTGTTCATCAACCACTACATATTTTCCCTTTTGTAAACTTTTAGTATTAAATTGTTGTATTATGATGAAAACAAACTTTAATGGCCTAAACTCTGTCACAGCTAAGCGAAGAACTCCGAAGTGGGCATGTATTTGATGGATGGAAAGAGGGACTCATAGACTTTCCACCCACCTACAAATATGAAATGAACTCAGATAGATATGTGGGTGAAAACCCTAAAGAAGGGGAGAAGAAGAGATCTCCAGCATGGTAATTGTAAATGTCTTTGAAGTAGCATGTCTAAATTTCATATAAAAGAAACATTTATGGGAAAAAGTTGACGTGTCTGAAAATTATATATTGCTCACATATCTGTGATGAACATCATCAGAATATCATAAATTCCACACAACTAAATTGCTGATTATATATTTGTGTTATGTCACATGCAGGTGTGACCGTATACTTTGGATGGGAAAAGGCATAAGACAACTTACATACCAGAGTGCAGAAATAAAAATCTCAGATCATCGACCAGTTAGTTCAATATTTCTAGTTGAAGTTGAAGTCTTGGATCATCGGAAGTTACAAAGGGCACTCAATGCCAGCACAGCTGCTGTACATCCTGAGGTTTTCCTCGACGAAGATGGAGATTTCGAATCTTAACAGTTACAAGGTAATCATGCACAAACAATAATGGGATAATATAGAACTCAATGTCTTCAAGTTGTTAATTATAGGAATTCTAATGGATGAATCTGCAATGAAATATGATGTTATTTTGCATGTATAAGTCGGTCTGCAATGCATCTAATAACAGTTTTTCTTGTCAAAAACAGGGATAGCTAATCACTCTGATAACTTAAAAGAGGAGCTCTCTTCTTCCATACACGGGTTTTGAGATACAGATGACCATGAGCTTACCATACAAGAAATAAAGATCCAAGACTAGCTTGTGTTGGTTCTACAGGGAATAAGCTAACTTGTAGAGGCTCCAGTCAAACAATTGTGGTATGCACTTAAAATAACAGCAATAATAATAAATATATGGCTTAATTCATGGTGAGTGAATGTATAGAACACGAAAACTATTTCTTTCTTTTTCCCTTTTCCCTCTTGCTAGGGCATCCTAATTTTGGTTTAACAACCATGATAACATTGTCGGTCTGTGTAAATTTTTTTATATATATTTATTAATATAAATTTTGGACTGTTTCAGCACTTTTATCTCTTGTTAAGTTTTCATTAGTACAAAATGCAATACATCAAAACTACCAAAGCTAGAGTGGATGAGTTCACTCTGGCACGGTTATGGGCAGCAAACAACCTTATCTTCTCCATAAATAAACCTTAAATAAAACAAGGTTAGGTAAGTTAGCTGTAGCAACTTTGATTAAGCGGGGAATGAACTTTTCTCCAAGACAAAGTTGGCTTGAAAATTCAGAAAGAGACAGACATTCGAAACAGTAGAAGAAAAACTCTTGTCCAACCGTGTGCTTCAGAAAGAGTTATATATACATATATATACGTGATGATTATTCAACATTCCATCGCCCATGCATTAATCGTGTTCCCATTTTCCAAAATGAAGATTATGAGAACTTTTCTTGTTACATTGGTTTTGATCTTTCTCGGTTTGAAAACTTTGAAGGGTGATGACACCATTGGAGGGTCACTGTTTCTTGACTACTACAAAGAAACATGCCCTTTAGCAGAAGAGATTGTGGCTCGAGAAGTCGAGATTGCAGTGCTCAAAGATCCTAGAATGGCTGCCTCCCTCCTTCGTTTGCATTTTCATGATTGCTTTGTCATGGTTAGGCCATCTTC